ACTCAAACAAGGATGTTCAAGACTGAAAAAAAAAATCTGTACGATGAATTAAATGTATTCCCCCCCCCCACACACCCCCACCCCATTTATTTGAATCAATAAAAATATCTTGTCATATAAAGTTATTGTGTGTAGAAGCTCACCGTGAGCTCTGTTTGTGCTAGTAGCCCGAATGAATCATAAGCTTAAATTTGTTCTCTCCAGGAAACCAAGGCTGCAATGGTGGTCTGATGGACAACGGCTTCAAGTACATCGCTGATAACAAAGGAATTGACACGGAGAAGAGCTACCCATACAAACCTGAGGTCAGTTGGTGTCATACATAGGCCTGGTCAGTTAGTGTCATACATAGGCCTGGTCAGTTAGTGGCATACATAGGTCTGGTCAGTTGGTGGCATAGATAGGTCTGGTCAGTTGGTGTCATACATAGGCCTGGTCATTTGGTGGCATACACAGGTCTGGTCAGTTGGTGGCGTAAATATGTCTGGTCTATATGTGAAGTACAAACCTTTGGTCAGTTGGGGCCCTACATTTTCTGGTCAGTTGGTGTCATACAGACATATATGTCTGGTCAGTTGGTGTCATACAGACATATATGTCTGGTCAGTTTGTGTCATACAAACGTGTGGTCAGTCATGGTCATTTACTGTCGCTCAACTAACATGACTTAAACCAAACCTGACATAATTCTGGCCATGTTAACAGTTTCATTCGTTCCTATCTACACGTTTCATAACATTTCAGGACAGAAAATGCAGCTTCAAGAAAGCTGACGTTGGGGCCACAGACAAGTCGTATACAGACATAACAAGTGGAAGCGAAGACGCTCTCCAGCAAGCAGTGGCCACGGTATGTGTCTGATCCTCCGTTGTCCGTTGTCCGCTTGTTCACGGTATTCACATTGTTTTGATATAACAGCAAGCTTGAGCAAATGTGTAAGACTTCCATGGGCGTGTCTGAGATTATGAATCGCCATGTCGTCTCCTCAGATTGGACCAATCAGTGTCGCCATTGACGCTAGCCACTCCTCCTTCCAGCTGTACTCCGGGGGCGTCTACAACGAGAGGGCGTGCAGCCCCAAACAACTTGATCATGGTGTCCTGGTCGTGGGTTATGACAGCCAAAATGGCGACGACTACTGGATCGTCAAGAACAGGTAACTCTTCTTTCATGTCACGAGGTCACTAAAAATAAACGGGAGTGAATGACCTTGGTGACAGTGACGTAGGAACAGGGCCGGGGGGGGGGGCACTAACTCTAGCTACGCCACGGATTGGTGCGGGAGGGAAAATAATTTAGAAAAGAAAAAGAGCGTCTCTCAAACGATGAGCTAATTTGTTGATGATCAACTTTTTTGCAGTCGGCATGACTATGTCACTGAAACATTCCCTTAACCCTAATACTTTAACATTATGATGAGTGACTAAGTTCTAGTTTCGTATAACCTGAGTTTGTCACACCACTGCCAGGAAGTGGGAAACAACACATCAACATATTTCAAAAGGTGTTGAGTTGCTCAGTCTGTGAAACTTTGGAGAGAAGCCAAGTTTTGGGCTTTCCCCATCTTGAATGAGTCAAGTTTCTATTGACCTCTGTCAACCCATTGATGTCTCGGCTGTGTCACGGTCGGCAGACCCGGATGTCAAAATTAATGTTTAAGCCACGAAAGTTTAAGCAGACAAGAAGTTTGATTCATTCTTACGGATGTGTGAGTAACGGTAGTGAAGTGTGGGGGAAGAGATCTATAGCAGCGTTTCCCAAATATAGTTTGGCGGACCAGCGAACTAGTGCACCAGCGCACCAGTGGTCTATTGCACCAGTGGACCAGTGCACCAGCGCACTAGTTTCGATCAGGGACCGTTGCCAGATTTATTTATTATATTTTCTTCATTTGGTCATAAATATTCATGCTGTGCGGACCGGTAACGTAAGGCGTGTGGACCGGTGGTGGTGCATGGACCACCGTTTGGGGAACGCTGATCCATAGGACAATAAACAATCTAGCACACTGCATGTGTGGCCTTCAGGGTAGTGTTAGCAGCAATGGGCGTGTATCTATCATAGCAGCAATGGA